AAAGAACAAGAAAAGAATCTTTCACACAATGAGGAATAAGAGACTTTCGAATGGGATCAAGGATGTCTACTATCCATCGGGTTTGATTGTGATAAAGTGAGGTTCGAATGCGCAAAATTGGCCTGTGTGGAGTGTGGATCAACCTTTCATTTGTGGTGTTTCCGTTCCTATTGGTTTCTAATGTTTATATTGAGCTTCGGAAATGTAACCATGAATCAACAAAACCGGTAAATTTCTTGCGACAGGACTTTCGGTGAGATGATTGGTCTCCGATGTATCGTGGATTTGGAATTTTCTATCATCCGACAATATATTGTTCATTTGGGCAATGTGACCGTTTTTGTGTGTGATCCATACTGTTCACCGTGACTGAATAGCCCCCATGTGTTCTTAATATATGACTGTTTGTTTTAAGTCAGCGAATGAGGAGATTAAATGAAATGCTAATATCTCGCGTTATTTGACTTCATTCCGTTTTGATTAAATAGATGAAGGGGGGACTCATTGTTTCGAATCAGTTAGTTACAAAAACTTTAAGCAAAGCTCGAAGTGTTTGTTGTAGAAGGTGTTGGTGCCCTTCATTAAGGAATTCTCGTGGGCACTTGAAAAGTCTAATTATCATCGGAACACAATTGACTGAACGGAAACAACCCTTAAACTTCACATTCTTTTCGCAAAAAGCTTCAATAAGGGAACCGGAGAGAGAGAGAGAGAATGAGGGCTGGTGGACGAGGCGTAAGAAAGCCGAAATATGGAGCTAGCGGATTTTATGAACTTTTTAAGTGGAAAATATTAATTGCCCAATGCGAGAATGGGGCTTGTTTTGTTACCAGATATCGAGAAAAATACCATACATGAATTGTTTCCTCCTTTTGCAGATTTTTAGTTTATATTACTTGTTCTGTTCGTTGTCTGAATTAGTCCCTAATTATACTCTGATAATGAGCGCCCTTTCACACACAGCTTTCGTTTTCTCCAAGGCAATACGATCTCAAAGTCAAATTTTTATTATGGGCATAACTTACAAGCTCGTGCTTCTCTTGTCCCCATAGGATATTTACACAGATGAATCGTTACACGCCGAAAAAGAAGTCACGTGGAGTTCCGGGTAGGAGATAATAAAGAATGTAGGCTTCAGTGAATTTGCGTTTGCTTTTATTGGTGTAGGAATGTGAGGTGTGCCAAGATTTCATGAAGTCTCTACCCGAAAGATTCAATAATGGGTGCACAAATGATATGAGATGTAAGGGCACTCCAAGAACTGCATACTCTGGCTGCAAACGACTGGCACCCGCATTTCAGTCGACACTTTGGAATCGGTGGCTTGAAACGGTGTCCCCTAAGGTGAACATTTTTCGATAACATAAGCAGCAATCGACACGAGTGGTTTGGGTTCTGCAGTATTTGATACGTCAAAATCAAGTCTCCGAAGCCTTAGTGCAATTGATGGAGCAGCTTAAATCCTCTTGAACAACAATACCTAAATCCTTTTTAGTTGAAGTATGTGGTAGCTGCTGATCCTCGAGGAGATACGAAAATTTTCTCTTGTGACGTAGGGGTAGGACTTTGCATTTAGAAACAATAAACTCATTGTCTTTCTCCTTAGACCATTGATAAGCTGCGTTAAGGGATTCTTAAAGTGCTAAAGAGCCCTCGGGTTCTGTTACTTTAATCCAGATTTTGGCGTCGTTTGCAAACAGTATATTTTTGAACCTAACGCTTTCGGTAGATCATTTATGAGTGCGAGGAACAGACGGAAACCGAGTACGGACCCTTGTGGAACACCGCAGGTGGCATTGATAGATCCGTATATGAAATCAGAAACACGAACTGATATGGTCCATTTTTGGAGAAATGCTCTAATCCAATCAAACACGAAATCTCTGACGCCGTAACTGTAGAGCTTTTGCAAGAAAATTTTGTGATTCACCCGATCAAATGCTTTCGATAAGTCGAGATAAATCACACCCACCACATCCCTTGCGTCAACTGTTCTGGTCCATTCATCCCGAACAAGAAGCACAGCTTGTTGTGGGGCAAGATGGGTTGCGCTATATTGTGTAAATGGAAAACGAAAAACGGTCTCAACGGTACCCCATCTCTGTGGATCTTAGGTAGTCCACATAGCCGAGGTATTGTGGTCCCGAACGGTCTAATTCTTTCATAAGTGGACGAATTGATTAGGCCATCTTGTTTTAATTGTCTGATCACCTTGGATTCTTACACCAGGAGTTTTATCTTTCTCCCTGGTGTTCGGTGTAAACTTAGTACTGTCACCGAGTAGTTCGTTCATCTTGGTGATATAGTCTGCTCGGTTTAGTAAAACGATTCGTGCACCTTTATCCGGTCTCGTGATCAAAATGTCCTTATTGTTTTTCAGGTGTTTAAGCTTTTCGAAATGCTCCAATTTTAGAATCTCTTTAGTCGTTCTTTAGATGTTAGATATTGAAAGCATGTCTGAAACAAGTTGAATTTAAGCTTCTGAGCCTCGAGGTGAGATGATGTTGTTAATTCTACCAGTTGTCCGTATAGGTTTTCAAACTGAGTTTCCAACTCTAAAATCGGAGCATTTCGAAAAGCTTAAACACCTGAAAAACAATAAGGACATTTTGATCACGAGACCGGATAAAGGTGCACGAATCGTTTTACTAAACCGAGCAGACTATATCACCAAGATGAACGAACTACT